TTAATTAAGAACAAGAGGGAGTACATCCGTAATGCACACCTGCAAACAAAGAAACAAGTAAAAAGCAACTTATGAAGTAGTTAGACACCAATTGACTTTCAATGGAAAAGAAAAGAAATTGGATTTTTGTTTCATATAATAGCAAATGAAATTATGAAAAATAATTTTTGTAAAAAATAAATCATATTGCACAAACTTCAAAAAAAGAGAACGAAATAAAATAGTAATGCTCCTTAAGTTATACTCCTTCCGTCCCACAAAACTTGGTCAAAGTTGACTTGCACATAAATTAATAAAGTAAAAACTATGTGGCTGAAATTTGTGCAGATGAGAGAGAAATAATTTTAGCCACATATTACTTACTTTAAATGGAAATGATAAAGTTTTTTGGGATGACCAAAAAATGAAATTTGCCGGGTTTTATTGGACGGAGGGAGTATAAGGTTTGTTAGCATAGATTACACCAATTTCCTAAATGTAAATAAATACTCTGTATATATTCTAATTAAGGATATAAGTACGCTGTAAACGTAAAGACTAGTGATCTAGAATGAAGTACGTGGTATATTTTTCATTTAGTAATAATTTAAAAAGCCACCGGTCCGGAGCTATTTTTTACGGCTTGACCGTGACCGAACTAGAACCTGGAATCTAGAAAATCCTAGACCGAAAACTAGATCGGTTAATACCGAACCGGTCCGATTACGATCTAAAATGCAGTCTCACTATATTCATGTAGATGCTTAAGTAAGAGGATTGGAATGGCAAAAACTCAATAAATAAATTGTGATCGGGCGGTGAATTAGAATCGGCCCCATACCAGAAATATATGTCACAGTCACGAATGGCCTAGAATTGCACCATTCCCATGCCTCATTTTCAGTCTAAACGAAGGGACGATGTATTAAGATACACAGTCCTCTACCCAATATATTTGAATGCTACTAGGAGTAGGAGTAGCTTACCTATTTATCAATTCACTACCAGCCTTAGAGTATGAAAAAATATGATATGTTTAAAACTTTGTGTAGAAAAGAGAAAAAATGTGGTTTAAGTTCACCCGTTTCTGATAAAACGTTGAAGAGTTCCTGCTTCCCACATGCAAATTCCTTACCCTTTTGAAGGTCTTGAGTTTGAGTCCCTAAGAACATGAAAATATCAACAAAATATTAATTAACATCAATGGTGGCACGAATGAGTTTTCATACATCAAGAACAACATAAAGAACATTATTTTTCAAATACAAAACACTACAATTACTTTTGTAAAGACAGATAATTATTTTGTCTATCAATGCTACACGTTAGTAAGTGCATTGTTATTAAATTACTGGCGGAAGATAAAAAAAACATGAAGAGATCTTGTTTGCATTTATACTCCCTCCGTTCTTTTTTAGTTGTAACACTTTCCTTTTTGGGAAGTTTCAAAATATTTGCAACCTTTCTATTTTAAGACATAGAATGGTGTGCAAATGTCCTTACTACCCTCAATTAATTCACACCCACCGCCTCTCTTTTATTAACTCGGTTTCCCCTCCTTTCACTTTTGGAAATCCCTCCAATTTTTTGTGATGATAGTACTTCTAAAAGTAGGAAGTGACGGTCATTTTTTGGACTGCAGATGGTAATATTGTACTTTTTGTATATCATGTCCTTTTATGGACCGTAAATACATATGAGGTCTTGAGAGACTTGTTTTTCATTGCAAAACAAGTCATTTTATCCATTTTTCTAAATTTGTGTGCCATGATGCTATGTTGCATCTAAATAAAAACAGAGGATAGTACATTTTATGAAATACGGAGTATATGCTATTAAGTTAACCTCTTTATGCCTGTGTGCATCAGAGCTGCTTATCCAAGTATCATGGCATAGTTCACAAGTCTTCAAGTCTTGAGATCATTGCTGATATCATACTACATCAATTTGACATCATGGCTAATGTCACCGACATACTCCCAAGACTTTTAAGGGACACATTTCACGTACTCATTGATTAGCATTTTGATTCACAAGTGTTGAGATCATTAGTGACATCATACTACATCAAGCTGACATCATGGTTGACCTCATCGGTGTATTCCATAAAGGTCAAAGAGGCGCATTTCATATACTCATTGTTTAGCATTTTTGACCGTATGATTTAAGTATGATATTTTGCCTATAATCGACGCATTCTCAAATGAGGAAAGAAATACCCAATCATATTTTGCATATATGATTGAAAATTGTGTAGAAAAGAGAAAAAATGTGGGTTAAGTTGATCGTTTCCAATAAAACATTGAACAATTCCTACTTCCCACATTCAAATTCCTTACCCTTCAAGGTTTTGAGTTTGAGTCCCTAAGAACATGAAAATATAAACAAAATATTAATTACACATCAATGGTGTAACAAACGAGTTTTCATACATCAAGAACACCATAAAGAACATTATTTTCCGAACACAAAATACTACAATTACTTCTGTAAAGATATATAATTATTGTGTCTATCAATGCTACACATTAGTAAGTGCATTGCTATTAAATTACTGGCGGAAGATAAAAAAACATGAAGAGATCTTGTTTCCATTTATACATTTTATGAAATACGGAGTATATGCTATTAAGTTAACCTCTTTATTTTGGAACTTTTATGGTTGATTTGTGATCATGTTCAATTTAGTCTTTCGATATTATCCACTACTAAACTAGCCTTTTTGGCATGTAAACCATTCAATATTTCAAATTAAATACATCTTACTCTACTATTACTTTGCTATATCAAATTATTAGTTGTGTTGTCTCTGAAAATCACAAACATCCAATTGAATCGAGTTGGGTCAAGTCGGTTTAACTAAACTGCCCGATTCGAATTGGTGTGTGCTACAACATTAGTGACATCATCATATAATCACCATGAAAACTGATGTCATCGGTGTGTTTCCTCATGCTTCCAAAGAACACACGTCACTTTTCTCATAGAGGAGCATTTTGGGCTTATGATTCAAGGCTTTTAATCTCCAAATTGGGAGGATTGCGATGCACATAAGGATGAACGAGATCAGAAAAATCTCATATCGAAGAGTCGTCGCCTCAGGGAGGGAGAGACTCATGACAAGGTATATAATATCACATACCTTAGCAGGGTGAGGCCCTACGCCGAGGCATTTACTATGTTCAGACTTGAGTTCCCAACAAGGCCGAACCGGCCTGATCCGCCTAAACTCGGTTAAGGTTACATTATTTAGCCATTTCACGGGCATTCCAAATATGCGTTTGCGGTGCTTACATCAGAGCCGCTTATCCTGGTATCATGCATAGTTCATACGTCTTCAAGTCTTGAGATCATTGCTGACATCATACTACATCAATTTAACATCAAGGCTAATGTCATTTACATATTCCCAAGACTTTGAAGGGACACATTTCTCGTACTCATTGATTAGCATTTTGATTCATAAGTGTTGAGATCATTACTGACATCATACTACATCAAGCTTACATCATGGTTAACCTCATCGGTGTATTTCCTAAAGGTTCAAAGAGAGACTTTTCATATACTCATTGTTTTGCATTTTTGACCGTATGATTTAACTATGATATTTTGCCTATAAACGGTGCATTCTCAAATGAGGAAAGAAATACACAATCAATTCTTGTAATATTATTTTACTAAATTAAAATGTAACTGCCTAATTTTATCCAGGTTTTATAACCCATTGTACTTAGTAGTATGTTTAATTCATACTTATTCCTACATTATAAATAGGCCAAGGAATTCGAGGATGAGATATATATAATGTGCATAGACAGAGACAGCCCGAGGAGTAGCTAGCAGCCGGTCAATTAGAATCGGGTCCATAGCGGAAATGCATGTCACAATCACGAATGGCCTAGAATCGGACCATTCTTATGCCTCCACACAATGGGAGTGTTTAGTAAATGGTGTTTCAGCAGAAAAATGGTGATTTGACCACTTTTGGCATTTTCAATAACTGAAAATGATTTTGGTAAATAGCAGTTCGGCACTGGCATTTTTGGACGAACCGCTGAAATGAAAACACTGCAAATAGAAGAGTTTTGGGTTAGCATTTTGAAATATAGCGTTTTCTATTAATTTTATGCCCAAACATCTAAATTATCAAATATTTTTTGACAAACCGTCAACTTATTCTGCCAATCAAACTTGCCGATTGGATCCGCTATTGACAATTTGCTAACATAATACATTAACCGTTAACCGTTAAATGCCAAACACACCCAATGTATTGGAACACTATAAAGAGGTGTAGGAGTAGCACACCTATTTATCAATGGACTATCAGCGTAAGAATATGAAAATATATGTTATTATATGATTGAAAATTTGTGTAGAAAATAGAAAAAGTTGGTTTAAGTTGATCAATTCTCAAAAAAACAGTTAATCAGTTCCCGCTTCCTACATTCGAATTCCTTCCGTTGTCGAAGGTCTTGAGTTTGAGTCAAGAGACACATTTCACGTATTCATTGGTTAGCATTTTGATTCAAAAGTGTTGAGTTCATTAGTGACATCATACTACATCAATCTGACATCATGGATGATCTCATCGGCGTATTTCAAGGGGTTCCAAGTTAGATACATTTCATGTACTCATTACTTAGCATTTTAAGCGTATGATTCAAGTCTTGTATTTAGCCTATAAATAACAGTATAACACATTCTCAAATGAGTAAAGACATACACAACCAATACTTGTAACACTCCTTCCATCTCATTAAATACTTCTCAATTATAATTTCGGAATATTCCAATTTTTTTTTTAATTTTCATTTTTGAAAATTTGTATGACTAACATTCATTTACATTTTCTTTCAATTTTATTTCTTTCTCAACATTCATTTGAAGATTCTTCTCATTTTATTTTTAATTTTCATTTTTGAAAAGAATTTTTATGAGAAAGAAGGACGATTAATTTTCCATAAGCCATTAGTAGTATATTTATTTCATACTTATTGTCTTATTCCTACATTAAACAGGCCAAGGAATTCGAGGATGAGAGGTATATAATGGGCATAGACAGTCCGAGGAGTAGCAGCAGACTTCAAGTGCTAAGCAGCCACATAACTCCCATGGCTTCTGAAAAAGAAGCTGCCCTTCTCGCCGTTCCCTCAGATTCTCCCACCATGTACCCACGCTGCTGCGATTTGTTCCCCTTCTCTGATTTCCTGTTTTCATTTCGATTTTTTTGCTATCTTTTTTGTTTTTGTTTTGAAGGTTTAGTTGATGTTTGACTCACAGATTCGACAAGATTATAAACAAAGAAATACCAGCCGACATTGTTTACGAGGATGGTCAGGTATTTCTTAGGGGAGTACTTTTGGGGATGATCTAAATCCCTTAACCCCGCCTCTCTAAATCAATAAATGTTATTTTGAACCTTAATGTTCAAGAAGCTGAAGTTGATTTACCCTAATTCCTCAAAAACTGATTTTGGGGAGCAATTAGAGCAGCTGAAAGTGCTGCTTAATTAAGTTTCATTCAAAAACTCCTGCATCTGCTTCTGCTCATGAGGGAGTAGAAGCCGTTTTAGTAAGCACATCCAAACACCCACTCGACTTAACTGAATACACGAATTAGCACTTTCGTTGTTAACCTAATATGAATTTTACAAGCACAATGTCATGAAAAGAGATGAATAAAATTTTGCCTACACGAAAAAAAAATACTAGTGCTAGTAGTGCACTCTAGGACTAGTGGTTTTTTTCACCAATGCTCTTAGCAATATTTTCATATAAAAAAAATGTGCTATGGCCTATGGCACCTGATGTATTGCAATGAAAGGTGTTGAACTTGAGAACTTAATTATAAACTGCTTTTATTGATTTCAATTTGAACTTGGGAAGTTGATAAATTGTGGGGTACATTATAATGCGTATATGGAGAGATAATGGACTTAAACCCAGCCTCATTATGAAATATAAAACAATAATAACTATATTAGTATATTACTATACTAAGGGTGTTTGTAATCCAGTCTGACATGTAATATACTAATATTCTCTATTGTTCTAAGAAGGATAACCAAACATAACTAATTTTGCTATTTGATGTTACATCATAAAAATGTAAATAAGATTTGAGTCATTCAGATTCGTTTATCCTTTTTTACTGTCGTGCGTTATTGTGAGCGGGCAGTGGGTTTAGATTATTATTCTTGTTGATATGTGTTTTCATCAATGGATTCAACAAAACCTATACATTAAAGGATAATGTAATTCCATTTTTTAAAGGGTCCTCCAGATAATGTGTTGTGGCTATCAATGACTGAAGTACGTATAGGAAAAGCTTCTATTGTCTCCATCAGCATCAACCTCGGCACCTAAATCGTGGCTTCAATGGCTGGGGACGTGATTAAGGTGTCGGGGTCGCTGCTGATGGAGGGAGTGAAAGGCTTCCCCATACTCAGTCCATGATGAATGTGCTACAGACGTAATAATTACTTATATGCGCCTAAACTTTTGTTCAACAAGGTTAAAGCAGCTTGTTGCGTGGATCTAAACGATTTTTAGGTTAAGTTTAAAGTTAATTTGTAATCGTATTTTTTGGGGGGAAAGATGTTGTGACATGGCTTTTTTTTGGGACGAGGTTATTTCCTTTTACCTGTGGCTCTATTTTGACTTTGTGTTTTTGTTTGGACAGGTTTTGGCTTTCAGGGACATAAACCCCCAAGCTCCAGTGCACATTCTTCTTATTCCAAAGGTGAAGGATGGGTTAACTGGGCTCTCTAAGGTATTCCTAATTTATTTCGTTGAGCATTAATAATTAGTGATGTTTCTGCGTTTAGATTTGAACTCTCTATCTTCTTATTCTTAATAATGCAAAGCATTCATAGGGTTCTTTTTCTCTGAAGAGAGAAACTATATCACTGCAATCCATGTACTGGGGAGTGGGCACTCTGAGGTCATTAGATAATAAGAATATGTTCATGTTCACAATAAAGGAGTTGGTCACCATATAAACAATGGAATTATGTCATACGCAGATTGTGCACAAGATAATCTTTTGTCACCTTTGAGATTCATTTTTCATTCCGGCTGAGAATACAAACTTCATGATTCGTTCTGCTGTTTTTGTCTTTGGAAAAAGGGTCAAATAAACCCATATACTATTGCAAAAGAATCATCTAAGCCCATCTACTCAAAAAACCATCACATGAGTATATTTACTATTTAAAAACGATCAAATAAGTCTAACTGACCGGAAATCAACGCCCTGTAGCCGGTTATTCTATTTTTACGTTTTTTTTCTTCTCTTGCGCGCTGCGGACTACTCCAATTGTTTAATTTTTTGTTTCTTTTTCATTTTCTCTTCTTCCTGAACTGTGGCCTATCTTACGATTCTTATATAAATTTTTTCTTTTCCTTCATCCTATATTCCTATTATTTCATGTTTTCAATGTAACTGTTTGCATTTTTAGTTTTTTCTTCATTCCTTTTAATTTCCCTTGTTTTCTTTTTTATTCGCTGTCTTTCCCCCAAGAAGTATGTCGTGACAGTCCGTGGAAATGATTTCAATACATTATTATGACTCATAAATGAAATAATTACATACTACTTTTATTTGGAGAAATATTTCTAATAATTAAAATTTTATAAAAATATGACTAGTGACTAGAATAATAATTAAATCGTAGTAACATATATTTATTTTAAACTTAAGTTATAATATTGCTACATTGTAGTAACTATTAGTCATGTTCATTCTTTGAAAAAAGGGAGTTATTTTTTAATAAAGATTCTCTTATTTTTAAACAAATTACATTTTAAATCTCTCAATTAGGGGTGACAGCGGGTCAGATTTATACTGGGTGAAAGTCATCCACGTCCACGCGTGAATTTTTTATATTCCACCAACCCGTCAACCATTTATTTAAAATTACCGCCACATCTAACCCATCCGGCCATCACGAACGAGTTATCGACGGGTAGATCGGTGAGTCACATTTATATATGCTACACCATATAACAAATACATGTCTATTGATATATTAATATTAATTATTATATACAATGATATATTATTAAATAAATATTATATGTATATAAATATATATTTATATGTGGGTGAGTCGATGGATGGATGGAGCGGGTCACGGGTCGGGTGATGGGTTGGATGAGTATTCAGTCACCACGCACCCGTCTTTCAACCCACCGTCATCCATTTTCCATCCATACTTTTTTGAGTTTTCGTCCATATTTCCAGTTCGGGATGACCAGGTATCCGCGGGTGCGGGTGATATTGTCAGCCCTACTCTCAATTATTAAATGGAGTCTTATTCTTAAATTTGAATTAACACCGTTAAGATTGTGATTTTGTGATTTTGACACGGTTAAGATTGTGACTTCAAACACAGTAAAAAATTTAAGAATTCCCGAAATATGAGTAAAAATGTTTTAAAATTCCAAAATAGATTTGTCATATTTTTATTACCTAAATAGGAGTGATTACTACAAATTCGGAAGATGCTTCCATATTTGAAGTCTGATATTGTCAAAACATGGAAGCAATTACTTCTATTTAGGAAATAAAAACATGAAAATCATATTTTGACAGGAATACACAAACATTTTTACTGCTATTTAAGGCCAATTTCCCTTAAAAAATTATACACTTCGTACAAATTTCTAAAAAACCACATTACCGATATTTTGTCACTAAAGTTAGGCCATACAACAAAAATGCCAATCATAAAATTCAAATTTTATAGATAATAATAGTGTGACACAGACAAAAAATGTTACATTCGGAATACTAGGTAAAAAATTGTATACTTTTTTTCGCATTTTTAAAATCCGCACCAACAATTTTTGTAGGTAAGTATAGGCCACAGATAAACACGTCGATTAGAGAATCCAACTTTAATAACAACAAATTTCTAAACAAAAGATATTTCAAACACGATAAAAAAATTGTACATTTTTTGCCACACATTTCTAATTTGTAAAAGTGGATATTGTACTTTTTTATCTGTTCTCTAACTTAAAAAAGAATATTTGAAGAAGATAGCAAATAAAAAAGAAACAAGTGAAAAAGAACAAAAAAAACTAAATATACAAACCGTTGGAAATATGAAATGATAGGATGAAAAAAAAGACAAAATAAACATAACAACGTAAGGTTGTAAGATAGGCCACGATTGAGAAAAAGAAAAAGGCAAAAGAAAATCAAAAAATAAAACAACTGAAGGAGTGCGAAACAAGAGAAGAAGCAAAAAGAAAAAGAAAAACTAAAATGAGAGTATCCTGCTACAAGAGGTAGAGTTCCGGTCAGTTGATGCATGTGATTGTTTTTTACTAGTAAATGCACCTATGTGATGATTTTTTTAGTACAAGGGTTTAGATGATACTTTTACAAAAGTATATGAGTGTATTTGACCCTTTTTCCTTTGTCTTTTAATTTCTTCTCTACATTATCCTGACTATATTAGTACTTTTTAAAATAAAATTCAAAAGGCAGAGGAGAGACATTGTGATATTCTTGGTCGCCTTCTTTACACTGCAAAGCTTGTAGCTAAACAAGAAGGTCTTGATGAAAATGGGTTCAGGCTCGTGATCAATGACGGAAGAGATGGATGTTAGTTTTTATTTTTATTTTATTTAATCTTTTCATTCCATAACTTTGTCATAATTGGAGTTTGAACCTTGTCCTTCTGAGTTTTGATCTGAATATTGTGTGCGCTTTTTCTGCAGGCCAGTCTGTTTACCATATTCATCTTCATCTCCTTGGAGGAAGACAGATGAACTGGCCACCTGGGTAATTTAAGTTGAGATTGGATCTGGGGTTTAAAGACTGGCCATGCATAATCATAATGAAGGAAGAAGGGTTGTCTGTTCTATGTACTTGGTCCCATCTTTTATTATACAAAAGCAAAAGGAAAACTGTGCAGTGTTCCCGCCCAAACACTGTACAGTAATGGGCCGGGTCGGGCAATCCATGGGTGCAGGAATGGGTTTGCAGGCAGTCCATTGCAATTCTTTAATGCTGGCTCTTTATCCAATGTTTGAATTGTGTGGCTCAATAAAAGGGACTGCTTTGATGAATAAAAAATTATCTTAATTGTACTTTTCAGCCTAGAGCCCCAAAAAGGTTTAATGAGTTGTACTATGTTAAAGGTGATTTAGTGCTTTTCCCTGCCATTCCGTAATGAAGCCCATTTTGTGTTTAAAAAATAGGAAGTAATTGTACTTCAAATCTGAGTTGGTCAAAAAAAAATCTGAAAGCATTCTTGAGCCACACATGCATTTAATGTTTTGTACTATCTTGGCAAGATCACAATATATTTTTGTACTACAAAATCCTAATGTAGAGATTGAGGATATTTATCCATTGGTTAATACCCAATTGCTTAAAATTATACTCCCATTAGCCACTATAAAAACCGAAGTTGGGGTTGTCTCCACACACCACAAACAAGCAATTCGAGATTTCAGCTTTAATCTAAGCAATGGCGAGTTGATCATCAACACACAGAAACAATGCCAATAACAACAGCTAATAAACACATGTAGCATTAGCACAATTCTGGGGAGCTGAGGTGTGTTGCTCAAAGACACAGAAACAATGCCAACAACAACAGGTAACCTAAAAGTTAAAACTAAGGCTATTTTGTATTTAGTTTTATATACCATTATATGGCAGGGGGAGAGATTCATGCATCAGTGAGCAGGCCTCATCTAGAGTCGTACAAGAAAAAATTACTCATTGTTACTGGAAGGCACCTGGAACTTTTGTGTGGATGGCACCTAGAACATTTTTTTACTAGATAACTACCAAAGTATCAAAACCAGAAATCATCCTTACTTGATACAGTTTTGAAGCACACATTGGTGGCCGGAAGGGAAACTGACATTCATGGGATAGGTCATCATACCAATAAACACAAGTGTATGTAAAAAAAAGCATGGTGGAAGTGTTTAGAAACCACCACAGATGACACTTTAAAAAAACGCTAAACTATTAGAAAAAATATTAAATAAAAATATCATGGTGTAAAGAACACCAAGTTTAAGAATCAAACCATATATTGTGAAAGAGTTTTACAACCAACGTGGAGTAAAAAATAGCATGGTGAAAGAGTTGTAAACCCACTACATAAAATTACTTTACCGATCCCAGATGAAAACTATTTATTAAAGTATATAAATGACACAACAAATATCCTTTAATTAATAGATCTGTCTACCGAAATATAAATGACTATATCCTAAATATAAAATCTTATGCAACTGCATGCATACAGAATTTATGCAAATTTTTTCAATCACTTGAATCTGTTTTTTAACCAATGAGATTTAACCGGTTAAATATTTTCAGAATTTTAAAACACCCTTCAATGAAATTGTGTAGAACTCAAAGTACAGAAATTATAAAGATTTTATTAGTTACATGGATCTATTTTGAACTTAATGACTTTTCATCGCTTAAATCTTTTCAAAAGTTTAAAAATCCCTTATATAAAATTGTATAGAACTGCAGGCACACGGGAACTTTACAAAACGAAACAACAATAATGTTAGATATACCAAAATTAAAAGAGGGGATGTAAGGTCTGAGATCATTTGTCTATCACTCAGACTTCATAGCTGCACCAATTGTTGAGAGCGGACAACATAAAAACACTTAAAACAAAATAAAAAAAATTCTCAATCCAATAAATCCCTTAAATGAAATCATATATAGTGTAAGATATACAAAAATGAAGAACTGAGACATACGGCCTGAAATCCGACTCAGACTTCGCCGTACCACTTCTCCAAATCATGTCGGGAAAATATCCGGTGAGGAGAGAAAATCGGCATGCTGATGCCGATGTCGATTGAGTGTGGCATGCGTGAGAGTAGGCGGTGTGAAAAAAGTGGTTTAGGTTTGTGCGAGTGTAATCGATCGTGTTAGCGATGGTTTGAGAAGTCTGCTGCAGGGTAAATGATAAAGACGGAGGGGAGGGTAAAGGAGCTTATATATGACGGTTTAGGGTTGGGTTGTTGGGCAGAAATAAATTTCGGTGTTGAGCTGGGTATTTGAGTAAATGGGCTGTAAATAATGGGATGATCCCATAATTGGGTATATTTATTGGTGGGCACATTTAACATATACGGAGTATTAGTATTACTATATTATTATCATTTGTATTATTGTCATTCTTTTTATCACTATTGTATTATTACAATTATTAAAATTATATTCCACAAATTAGAAGAACAGAAATATAAAATATATTCTCTCTTTTTCTCATTCAAAGTTTAAATAAGGTTATGATAACCATACATTATACGAAGTACTAATATTTGTAGTATTTACTGTGCATTATATTATTATTTTTATTTTTATTTTTGTATTTTTTGTTAGTAAATCTGAATTTAGATATTATTAATAGTAATATTGGTAATATGAGTAGTATAATTGAAATTATTATAATTATTACAGCTATTCAGCTTTACTATCAATATATTCTAATTTATAAATTACATATACTAAAATGTGAATTTAAACTAATGTTCATTAACGTAACATTTTTCGGAATGTCATTCATGTTGAATAGAAAATTGGAATCCATACTACCAATGTTGTTTACGAGGAAGTGTTTCAAAATGTATAAATTGTAGAAATCTTATTGTAATATTTGTTTATTTGTTTATTTCTACTTAATTTAAATCTCACTTACTACCAATACTTAAGTCTAACTATCGATTCCCTGATTATAATTTATTATTTATATTAGGACTCATCTATTTTCATACATTTATACATCAATTAATAATATAAACAATTACAGAAATATAATTATTACATTAATTATGCCCCGCGCATCGCGCGGGTGAGAATCTAGTTCCTACAAATAAAAGACATTCTGGCTAGTTACTGTTCTATTTATTTTTATATATATGAACGCTTAACTTTTTATATGAGGTGATAACCAAACCATCTGATATGTGACTGAAAGAAATTGCCTTTGACGTGTATTAGTTAAGTAATTCAAGGTCCTTCCTCTATTTCAACACCTGCAAATACGTGAAAAGAAACTGAAGTCCCCCACTTCTTCGGGGGAACTCCGGGTTTCTCCATCCAATGCTGAGACAGGAAAGAAACTTAGGGATTACTTATCAGCTAATAGCTACAACATTTAAATTGAGATCATGCTCTACAACTAGGCATGGTCTGGTTCCGGTCGGCCCGACCCAGGAACCGGCCCGACCCGCCACTGTGCGGAACCGGACCGGCCCGGTGAACCGGCCTGGGAACCGGGCCTAGAACCGGCCCGGTGTGTTAGAACGGTCCGGTTCCGGGCCTACCCTTCCTTTGGAACCGGCCGGACCGGGCCCGGTTCGGGGCTATTTATTTATTTTTTGTTTTTTCAATTTTTTTTTGTTTTTCCTGGGTTGGGCTAGGTGTTTTGAGGGGGTTTGGGGGTGAGGGGGGGGGGGGGGTCGGGGGTTAATTAGAATAGCAAAAAAAAATATGAATCGGCCCGGACCTGGTTGCAAACTGGGCCGGTTCCGGGTACGCCCCCAAAAAATAAAAGCTTGGTTTGGACCGGCCCGGAACCGGTCCATGCCTATCTACGATTACAAGTGAGACATTGATGAATTCTAATAAGAATTTATTTTGTACACTCATGTATATGTTCCATTTTGTCTGTCACAAATATTTTTTAATAAGAAATTTCTTTTTGTACACTCATGTATATGGCCAAATTATACCATACAACCGACTGTACGGTGAACATCGTACAACCGGGTATTTTTGAAATTAAATTCAACTTCAGGCTCGAATCTAGTAACTGCGGACGTGGTTGTTGGGGTGGAGAGCGCTTTCTTTCCGGACGGCCATGGGTGGAACTTGGAAGCTATGCAGAGAAGACCAACCGGATCCCTGTGCTCCTCAGGCTTAAGGATGATTCAAGTGTTAGAGATTGCGACGTACAAGTTTCCTCAAAAATAAGCCTAGCAATCTATGTTGCTGCAACCGGTGAACTGTGAATTTGAAATACGGAGTACTGTAATTAATTAATATGTCGCTGCCATTTTTTTTAAAGGCGGTGCTGGTTGAATTGGAATTGAGATTCTGGTCCAAATATAATTCATTATCATTTTATAAAGAAAAATGAGCATATAAGATGAATAATTGAGTACATTAAAATTTTCAAATGAATTTTGAATTTTTTTAATACTCATTTTGTAAGTTATGTGTGCTCATTTGATACAGGTTTTGTGCTCATTTTAAAATGTTATATGATGCATATTTCAAAAGTATCATACTACATTATATTCACGTAAAAGTTGATTTAGATACGGGAACACATAGAATGATACTCATTTTCATGTTTGTAATACTCAATAGTGAATGTTTGTGCTCAATGAAAATGTATTGATGCTCAACTAAAAATACTTGTGATTTTCATATTCAATGCTCATTTTATAGGTTACGCAGGGCCGAACCTATATATGAGGCCAAGAGGGCATTGCCTCAGGCCCACAAAATTGGGAAAAATTAGGGCCCATAATATATGAGACCTTTATATATGTGTCGGCCGATTTCGGTCTCTTCGTTATCGGGTCATGGGAAAACTTTCCGGTAAGGTATACCTTACCGGAGCCGCCGTGCAGCCTCCATGTTTTGAGGGCCTTCCCGGTGGAATTTTTCGATAAAATTTTTTGAGCATGTTCGTCATCAAGTCTAGTACATCCATACCAAATTTCAGCAAAAAATTCAATCTGGAAGGCAGACAAACGATTTTTGGAAGATAACTGCGTTTTATATGTATATAAATGGTGCAGTTATCTTCCAAAAATCATTTCACTGCCTTCCCGATTGAATTTGTTGCTGAAATTTGGTATGGATGTACTAGACTTGATGAAGAACATTCTCAAAAAATTTCATTGAAAAATTCCACCGGGAAGGCCCTCAAAACGTGGAGGCCGCACGGAGGCCCCGGTAAGGTATACCTTACCGGAAGAGTTCCCTCGGGTCGTGTGAGACTATCTGCAACTTTCCAACTTAAAGTTTTGAAGACTAGTTGTCTAGATGATGTTAAGGAGTACAATTCATTCAAAAAGAATTTTGAGAACATATTTCCTTGCAATGTAGTCTAAAAGTGATATTTTCATTTATCGTTTTGATTTTAAATGCCAATCTAGATTGTAGTGCGCCACATCACATTTAGAAATCTAAAAAATTTATTCTTTTTAAATCGTTGCTAATTGAAATTTAGGGAGTTGCTACTAATTATTTAT